CCCTTTGCAGAGAAACAGCCCCAAAGCATGATGTTTCCACCCCCATGCTTCACAGTAGGTATGGTGTTCTTTGGATGCAACTCAGCATTCTTTCTCCTCCAAACACGACAAGTTGAGTTTTTACCAAATAGTTCTATTTTGGTTTCATCTGACCATATGACATTCTCCCAATCCTCTTCTGGATCATCCAAATGCTCTCTAGCAAACTTCAGACGGGCCTGGACATGTACTGGCTTAAGCAGGGGGTCACGTCTGGCACTGCAGGATTTGAGTCCCTGGCGGTGCAGTGTGTTACTGATGGTAGCCTTTGTTACTTTGGTCCCAGCTCTCTGCAGGTCATTCACTAGGTTCCCCCGTGTGGTTCTGGGATTTTTGCTCACAGTTCTTGTGATCATTTTGACCCCATGGGGTGAGATCTTGCGTGGAGCCCCAGATCGAGGGAGATTATCAGTGGTCTTGTATGTCTTCCATTTTCTAATAATTGCTCCCACAGTTGATTTCTTCACACCAAGCTGCTTACCTATTGCAGATTCAGTCTTCTCAGCCTGGTGCAGGTCTACAATTTTTTTTCTGGTGTCCTTTGACAGCTCTTTTGTCTTGGCCATGGTGGAGTTTGGAGTGTGGCTGTTTGAGGTTGTGGACAGGTGTCTTTTATACTGATAATGAGTTCAAACAGATGCCATTAATACAGGTAACGAGTGGAGGGCAGAGGAGCCTCTTAAAGAAGAAGTTACAGGTCTGTGAGAGCCAGAAATCTTGCTTGTTTGTAGGTGACCAAATACTTATTTTACCGAGGAATTTACCAATTAATTCTTTAAAAATCCTACAATGTGATTTTCTGGATTTTTTTTCTCATTTTGTCTCTCATAGTTGAGGTATACCTATGATGAAAATTACAGGCCTCTCTCATCTTTTTAAGTGGAAGAACTTGCACAATTGGTGGCTGACTAAATACTTTTTTGCCCCACTGTATATATATATATATATATATATACACATATATAAATAATATATTTTTTCCCCCCCAAAAATGCCTTGAGTGTAACTGTCTACATTTTGTGTACTTCTGTCATTTTAGATGTACTTTACTGGAGCAAATACATAACAATTGAGATATGAAGCTCTATCATTCAGCCCTGCGACTGACTACCAGAAGTGCCGCCCACCCCAGACCTTCATTCGATTGCTCTGACAGACCTGCGGATCCGAGGAAGAGGAGCACGGTGATCCAGTAAACCCAGAAGAGCATGAGCGTGAGGAAGGTCCAGAAGGGCTGCAGGGCCAGCAGAGGCAGATGGGTGAACACTTTACTGGCCACGTGAAACAGAGCGACGGTGAGCGCCACTCGCTTCCTCATGAAGAACAGCAGCAGCAGCAGAATCACCTGAGGTGCACCGTTATTCAATATTACATATCTGCACAGTAAACTAATTTTACCATTTGGCAGTTCATATAGTAGTATGCGACTTCAAACATACAGTGAAGACGGTGGCAGCGATGGCGTAGATGAGCAGGGCTTTCTGATTGTCTTTGGCCACCTCCAGTTCCAGAGCCGGCAGAGTGGCGTTCACAGATTTACTGTGATCCACATACAGCCACCACAAGATCCCCGTCCCACCTGCCACAAACACAGCGCTGCCTCACACATCTCACACGCTCTCTGTGACCTGCAGCTAGTCACAGCGGCTCATGGCCCTGTCATTTATTTCTATGAAATGCTAAAGTCTCACCAATTGACCCGACCACCACAACGGCTGTGAGAATCCAGACCAGAACCACGGAGATGTAGCGGATCACAACCATCAGGATCAGAGACAGAACTGCAGCACAAAGAAGAGACAGAACGGTGCTTTAAACCTTGCTCCTCTGATGTTCAACATATGCTAATCAGTTATTATAGATAACTAAAACTAAAATAAAGCCACAAAACAACAACAACAAAATTGTAATACTTGAAATAAAAACATTAACTGAAATAAAATAAAATGCAAACTCATTTCATCTAGTTGTAGCTAGAAATCAATCAAAACTATACAGAGGTTTAATAAAAAAAACTAATAAAAATTCTTAAAACTAAAATTTCAAATAGGTTTTTATTATTTTTCATGTCATTTGTAGTTATTTTAGTACATCAATTTAAACTAAATGAAAATGAGAAATGTTTCATTGGCAGCTATGAAATAACTTATTTTATTTCACGTGCTGTTTATTTGATTTCATTTAAATTTGAGTTCGGTTTAGCATTTTTTTTTTAATAGTTTATGTTATTAAACCCAACTGTAGCTTTTATGAATTGTTCAATTTCATTTTTAGTTATTTTACTACATCAATTTAAAGTTTCTTATATATAAATACGACTTTTCTTTTTGTTGTGTTTTCATAATATCATTACTTTTTGTTTTTATTAAATATGCGTGTATAGATTTTATTAATTAATAGCAGTCGTGATTAATAAAAAGCAAAAACTAATAAAAATGAGAAAAGCACAACATAAAATAAATGCTAAAACTCGAATTAAAATGTAATAAAATAAACAGTAAGTGAAATCAAATAAAACTTATTTCAGCTAGCTGCCAAGGAAACATTGGCAACATTTTAATTTAATTTAACTTGATGTACTAAAATAACTAAAAGTGAAATTAAAATTTATAAATATAATAGACATATTTAATAAAAACAAAAGCACAAAAAAATGACAAAAATATCAAAATGAAATATATCAAATTATTTCAAAATATTAGTAAATTGCTTACAAATATTAATAAAAAAAACAATAGTATATCGATACTAAAATAGCACTGATGCAAATCAGGTTTATGAAGCTAAAACGTAAGAGATGTTGATGGAAGTTTTGATTAATGTAATTAGTATTAATGTTGGTCTGCTGTTTTCATGAGAAGAGTCCTGTGTTATGATCTGACCGAGAGCGAGCAGACACAGGCCCATGATGATCTCTTTGGATGTCATCACTCCAGCGATGACCCGGTGCACCACACTGTTGTCACTGACGAAAGTGATGAAGGCCTCCGCAAACCTGGCGTAGCAGGAAATGTCCACTGGCATACAGCGGTGAAACACTGGTAAGGATGCACTACACAAAGAACAGACAGAATATAGGTTAGTCTGAATAACACGAATCAAAGCTCAAGTTAAACATTTTCGTTTTCTTTGCTTGAGGCTTGGGTGGAAATATGGATGGGACTGTTCTTGTTTAAAATTCCCAAATGTTTTTATTTCAGCCATGAATCGTGATTTGCAGCTTGCCATCTCTAGTCAGTGGCTTTTTTGTGGAAATATTTTAATAAACAAATATTTTTTTAATTATTTTAAATATATTTTTAAAAATAATTTCTTTTAAAAGCATATAAAAATATATAAATTTACCACACACACAAAAAAAAAAAAAAATATATATATATATATATATATATTTTTTAATATAGTCTTGGTGAGCAGAAAAGACATCTTTCAAATACATTCCTAAAAAAATCTTACAGACCCCAAACTAACACAGATGGACTAAATACATGGACTACCTTGGATGGACAGGAAGTGTTGGACATTTTGTAGCCCTATTAGAGTGAGTGGAATACGTGTCCGGTTGTACATCGTAGGAGCACAAATCAGATCCTAGAGAAAACAATACAGAAAAACAAAACAGCATTAGGCAGAACTCACATTTCAGGACATTCAGCCGTATGTGACGGCAATGAGCTCACCGTAAACTGCAGAGAAATTTCTGAGATCCTCATAAGTCTTCAGCTCGGTGTCTGGACACTTCGAGACGCACAGAGCCACAGATTTAATCTTTCTTCTCAGTATGTCGATGTTACAGGGGTCCAGGAAAAACACATACCTGTGACAGAACCATTGAACAAACTGTCACTCAACTCCTGTAAAACCCTCCGTGCCAGTCTACAGAGCAGGCAGCTGTGTTTCCGCTCATTCTCACACACTTTCTGGAGGCGTGGTCGCGGCCGCTGAGCTCTATTCCTGGGATTTTGGCGTTCTTCTGACCGCAGGTGTTCCCGTAGCTGTCGTACCCTGATATGAGTCTGGACGCGGCCCCTGTCGCAATGGCAAAGCCACAGATGCAGAGCTGCCACAGAAACACAAGATGATGATCAGGACACGGGACGCAACCGGTAGCACAAATTATTAATGGGCAATAACTGCCCACTGGAACTGATTTTCAGGTGCATTATTTACCTATATAAAAGGTATTTTTACCATGTAACTCCATTTAATTCAAGTACTTAAGTTGAACCAATTAATTAAATACACTTCATTTAAACACTTATTACTACTACATACACAATAAAAAAAAATTACATCAGACAATGACAATAATATTGCTTAAAATGAATAATTATAATTCATACTTAATGTTCTTGTATTTGTAATTGTGTCCAACAGTTGCATTTTTATTTTTTTTTAGATGTGAATTGCATTTTCTACCATGCCGACATTGAAGAGGATGAACAGGAGCAGCCATGGGATATCTGTGCACTTCCTCTGCTCTAAGGGTTTCCACTCGCGGGTCTTCTGCAAAGGGGAAGTTGACATAGTTGACGTGACACACACAAACTCTCTTTTAACATAAAAATATAGCTAAATAAATACATGCATGCATGCATAAGTAAATACAGTTTGTGTGGATCAAGTACCATTTTCTAGTTACTTTATATTTTGAATAAGTGTATATTAATTTGTCACAACACATAAGTAGTTAGGTAAACAAAAAAGCATGTAATTAAAATAATGAAAACCTAAAAAAGACATTGTGACAAGCAGTATAATTTTAGTATTATTTATATACTAAGATAGTATTTTGAATTGACCTTTATTTTTTATATTTTCAGTTTTCTTTTAAATTGTATAATATATATATATATAATTTTTATTTTTTAAATAATTGCTGTTACACTTATGGGACGATCAAATCCTTGTTTAATATTGACAAAACATTTAACTCAAATATCCACTTTTTTGCCGTAGAAATGCTACTACAGCCTCTATAATTTCTTCAACAAAAACATGTGGACATCACAACCTTTACAAAACAGTAATGGTTTTACCATAGTAAAACGGCTTAATTTACTTTTGTGTGATTTCTGAATGCTTGAGACAATAAAATCAATCAGACAACTGTAGGCCATTAATAAAATCATAGCCATAGGTAACTGTATAGAGCTACAATTGTAATTTATAAATAATACAATTTAATTACTTTTATATTTTATTAAAGGTCTATTTTGACCCCATATAATATATATATTATTTTTATTTTTTAAATAATTGCTGTTACACTTACGATCAAATCCTTGTTTAATCTTGACAAAACATTTAACTCAAATATCCACTTTTTTTGCCGTAGAAATGCTACTACAGCCTCTATAATTTCTTCAACAAAAACATGTGGACATCACAACCTTTACAAAACAGTAATGGTTTTACCATAGTAAAACGGCTTAATTTACTTTTGTGTGATTTCTGAATGCTTGAGACAATAAAATCAATCAGACAACTGTAGGCCATTAATAAAATCATAGCCATAGGTAACTGTATAGAGCTACAATTGTAATTTATAAATAATACAATTTAATTACTTTTATATTTTATTAAAGGTCTATTTTGACCCCATATAATGGTTTTTTTCTGCTTAGGGCACCCATTAATTTTTGTTTTTATTAAATGTCTATATATTATTCGTTTTAGTAGTTTAGTACTCAACTGAAACATGTTTTATTTCAGTTCGTTGCAAAGGTAACATTTCAAATTTGGTTTGATTTTTTATTCATTCTAAAGTTTTCCATCTAACATTTATTATTTTATTTAATTCTTTTAATTTATTCCAACTTTATTTGACTTCACGATAACTATTTGAATACGTTTTGAAACAAAAACTACAACACTGGTGACCAGTCGCAGTTTCCAAAAATGTACGCTTCTATTTTTATCCTAAAATCGTATACTTGGGAAAAGTTCAGCTGCACAAAGCAGGAATATAACACTGGGGAAGCACCGTAGAGAATGAACGGGACTGTCTGAACCAGTGTTGCCAACTAATTTTCAGAGAAAGTTGCTAAAGGATGGTCGATTTGTTGCTAAATGACGTTGTGATGTCATTGCGTAATCACGACGCAAAATTGTCACATCATCAAATCAATTTTTTAATAAATTTTGATTTGTTTGTAAAATAATATGCATGATATAATATTAAAATATAAATAACTGTATTTTTAAATACATTGAATTATTGAACACGTACACATTTTTGAATGATTTCAATTTAAGTTTTTTTTAGTAGCTAGTAAACTAGTAATTCTACACATCCTCAACTAATATGCTTTAAGCTGTGTATTAGTAGTTAGTTAGTATGCTACAGTCTAAGAAAAGTCTGTCAAAATAAGGCACAATCTACTATGTTAATATGAAAGAATTTTCCGTAATGGGTTTTTACCTGCATTTTAAATTACGCATTGTGTTTTCGGGTTACAATGGATGATGGATAATGTCCTGAAAGATTTTCCATTTTTCTTACAGTATACTAACTGATCAACAATCGCAGGTACAAGCTACTAACAAAGTGTATCATAAATGAACAATTATTCAATTATCAAATTATTCAATTATTATTATTAAATTGAACAACTGCAAATAGCAGCTAACTCAATTCACGTGATGTGTGTACTGCTAGGCATCTGTGGTTTCCTCTTTTTGTGTCATTTGGATGGAAAATGTGTGCCTTTTTATTGTCCGAGTCACTTATCAAAAGTTGCTAAAGGTTGCCAAATCGTAACGCAATATTGTAATGCATTACTTTTAAAAGTAACTTTCCCCAACACTGGTTATGCTAGTTAAAGTTATGTCATTGAACGAATCTTGGATGCTCGTTTGAAGAGATTCTTTTGTAATGATTCGGTTAATATGATTCACAAGGAACTGTGAATAATCTCGGTAATGTCGTTAATTATGTTGTTGACAAAATTGTTACAATAAACAAACGTGATCTATAATAGCCTAATCGACAACAGTGATAAGCAGTACTATTATTTACAAAATAATAACCTATTAAACGTAAATTAAAATGCCGCTGAAGTGAATGAGTGAATCGCGTCTTTGAAGAGGTTCATTAAACGAATCATTTGAACGAACCGATTCTCTACAATGATTCGGACTATTGAGCTCGTTTACTGTGACTTTAGCACCATCTATCGAGAAGAAATAAGTAGTGCGAAAAGTTTTTAGTGTCTGCGACCATTTTATGGTCACATTCTGGAGTTCCTGTGGATATGTTTAAGGCGTAAACCGTACAACTGTAGAGTTAACTGAAGTTACAGATTGTTCTGTTAAAGTAGTTACCATTGTGTTTTCTTTCGTGGAAAATCTCGTTTGCAAGTCAAAACAGACCAGCTAAAGTGGAGATGCCGGGGATTGAACCCGGGGCCTCGTACATGCAAAACATGCGCTCTACCGTTGAGACAAACGACTGGAAATAGCGCTGATCCACATTCACGCTTGGAAAATGTGATTAATAACGTAATACAGGTCTAATACCGCTTATAATACCGGTAACTTATGTTAACATAACATATATGTTGACATGTAAACCTGATTTAGATTTTTAAGTTTTGTTTATGTGGAAAAAATAAGCGTAAGTACGGTGGCCGAGAAGTGCAAAGCAAATCACAATTCTGAAAATAAAATAACAAATTACAAACGCAAATGCAAGTCTAAAAAACAAAATAACAATTCAGAAAGCACAACAACAATTCAGAAAACACTATAACAAGTCAGAAAACACAATGACAAATTCGAAAACATCGTTGTGTTTTCTGACTTGTTAATTTGTTTTCGGATTTGTAGTTGTGTTTTCTGACTTATTTTGTTTTCTGACTTGTTATAGTGTTTTCTGAATTGTTGTTGTGCTTTCTGAATTGTTATTTTGTTTTTTAGACTTGCATTTGCGTTTGTAATTTGTTATTTTATTTTCAGAATTGTGATTTGCTTTGCACTTCACGGCCACCGTACGTAAGAGAGTGACCTGCGCTGATTTTGGCTAATCAGACATTTACCCGTCAATCACATTGTGCATTTGGTGTTACTGACCTGTAATTGGCTGACATGACTTTAAAGGGCGGGGTTTTGGAAAGAGAGCCTGCGGTTGAATGTAATGGAGGTGATTTAACCTTAGTTCAGAGCGAAACAACTTTTTCTTTCTAGATCACTCAGTCAACCAATTAATCTATCGGTTTATAAACTATGCTTTTTTTAAAATATAAAAGAAAGAAAGAAATTATGATTCCATGAATCCGTTTATGCCTTTCAATTAAAAGTACACTTTGTGGAAATGATCAACATTTACTCTAATGTCATAAAACATGCATTTAGCCATTTAAAAGTGTTTGTATTTTTTGCATGTTTCTTCAGCATGTTTTTTTTTTTTTTAAATCAGTCTATATATTATTAATTTATTTAATTAAAATAAGTGTGTATATCCTACAAGTACACACCCAGAAAGTTTGTCTTTGACTAACACTTCAGTAACATTATTTATTGCAATTCTCTTTTTTTTTTTCTACTCGCAGAACAGAAAAGGACACAAGACTGACTGAAATAGCTTTTTAATATTTAAAATGTAAACACATACATTGTAACACAGAAAATAATGGCCACGGTGGGACATCTAAAATTGTCTATTGACCTTTTGTTAAACACAAAATGTCCGGTTTGTGAATTATGAATGTCAAGACCAGTTTAACATTATAAAGTGCTTTAGTTTTGGACCAAAGACAGTACTTTTTGTCTTCTTCCACGTCATTCAATGTGCAGCAGGGATTGCTGCTTAATTTCTGAAGGTGTTTGACTAAAAAGCACCTCATGGATTTGAAAAATAAACTCGATCGGTAGCACCTCATTGCTTTTGGTCACTTCGCGCTGTAGGCGAACAACAGCAGTGCCATTGGTCGAGATCATAAAAGTGGTTTGATAAACTAAACTTAAGGTTTTAGGATAAGAAAGCACATCCTGAGATATTAACTCCTGTACTAGAGGCCTATGAATGTCATTTCTTTGTCTCTCAAGGCCTTATTGTACGATGAAACTCTTGTTTCAAATCACATGGTGTAGAAAACAACAACAAAAAATTTACATTTAGTAGCCTGCTGAGAGCCACTACCATAATATCCAACACCGACAACGTGTTTGCTTGATACTACGCTCATTTGCTATGATTTAAAACCACTTGACCTGGTTTGGCACGGACATGATTTGTTTCTGTACAGTTTCACACAATATGAACTCGCCTCCGCTTCGGCCCGTTGTGGACACAAAAACAACTACGAAGTCCCACTAAACTCGGCTCAAGATCAGCGAACACCTGTTGAAACCCACACAGAAATACTTTAGGATAACAAAGCTGGAACATGCTTGAGCTTACGATGGAGTCCTAAACACGTCATCCACGTAAAAAGCATGCAATTAACTTCTAAAGTCGTCCGCTTCGTCTTCACAGTAGACCTAAATACCACCGTAGCTATGATGACAGTGTGTGCTCCACACTT